CTCTGACTCACTGCACACTCCATGTCCAGTGGTCCCTGGTGCCAATGAGGACCTCTGAGGCAATAGCACGGAAATCCAGTCTAGCTGTCTCTGACCTCAGTGACTGACTGAGGAAAATGTGAGCAGATGACTGAATAATTGTGTCTGGCTGGTCAAGTTCAATGTGCAGATGCTGGACGTTGTCCTCAGCACCTGTGGTGATCGTAGGTGCTGAGGGGATCTGTGCTGTGGTAGGGATTCTGGGGAGAGGGCTGCCCTGCCCCTCAGCTGTACTCCAGGGAGAGGCTGCCAGCTGGACAGTTGGCAGCCTCTATAGTCGCAGAGCCCTCTGTTGTGAGGTGTTACCTTTCCTGGCTTCCCTTCATGACAAAGTGGCCTGGGCTAAGCAGACATCACTAGGTGGGGACCTTGGCCCAGGTGAGAGGACTTTCCAGGTCCGCCTGAGGGAGCCCCAGGTGCACACACAGCCAACGTGGCTCCATGATCCTCTTGCAGACAGCAGCCCTTTGGCCACCCCAGGCCTGGGGTCACAGTGCCTTCTGTAAGGGGCTGTGTCCCCTTGGTCTTACCCTGTGGGGAGGAACATAGCCCAGAAGAGCTGGAGTGAGGCCCTGAAACCCGGGCAGGGCCGCTCTCACCAGGGTGGAAGGGCAGCACCATTGCTGGGTCTCCTGATGTCGCTGCAGACCTGGCTGTGTAGGGACACCAGTCACCCCCTTCCCAGGGGCTCATCCACTATTCCTTGCACTTTTAGAAGCTCACTCCCCTTTTCTAAGAAATTCCAAATTCATCTCATTCTAAGTTGGTTTCCTGTCACCCCCAACAAGTTCCTTCTCCAAAGAAGCAAAACTCTAAGCTTGATCTCTGCTAGAACATCCCCTTTGAAAGGTGACAGAGAGGGCACCGTCAGCCGGCCCTGAGCAGGTCCTGCTCCTTGGTGCTCCATAGTTACAAGCCTATGACTTGCCACTTGATTCATGGGACCCTGTCCTCACACCTGCAGGCTCAGTACCTGCCATCCTTTCCTGTTTGAGACCATCCCGGAGGCCCTGGTGGGGCCTCCCCCTGGCTCCCAGCTGTCCCTTCCTGTGCTGGGCCCTCTGTTACTTAATGTGTCATCCAGGAAATGCGGGGCAGATGTTTTTGGCAAACCGCTGGGCTGTGGCTAACCTGTGTGTGGGGTGGGGTGACTGCACATGTGTGTGGGGCTCCCCTCTCCCCGGCCATCTGCGCTCCCTAGTAGAGCAAGCCACATATATATCTATAGTAACAGAGGCAGTGGGAACCTTGGCAGTAAATTATGGTGCATGAGGACTTTGGGTGCATGTCAGCCTCTGAATTAAATTCCACTCCAGCTTCCTCTAAGACGAGGAACCAGCACCAGCTCCAAGCCCTCAGTCATGGCTGAGAGGCTTGTTTTGTGACAGACGAGGAAACTGAGGCTTAGGGAAAAGCAGGGACTCGACCCAAACATTCTTTCTCTGGGCTTGGTGGGTTGGCCTCACAGGCTTCCTCCAGGACTTTGCAAACTGCAGCCAGCCCGTAGAGCGTGGAGCTACTTAGGTTTCAGAGGAAGCTTCTGGGAAGCCCCTGCTGGGTGCTGAGCACTTGGGTGCCCACATGGGTATGGTCAGGGTGCCCCCGCCTGTGGTTACAGAGTGCAGTGCTCTCTGGAAGCCTCCCTGAGATGGCACCTCAGTGCATGTGCTGAGGAGGTCACCCTGGTCTGGGGAGGCAGAGGAACCCTCAAGAGATGGTTGTGGTGGGAAAGTTTTGTTAAGTCTTATTAATTAATTTATTTAT